AGGAAGGAAGGAAGGAAGGAAGGAAGGAAGGAAGGAAGGAAGGAAGGAAGGAAGGAAGGAAGGAAGAAAGAAGAGATAAGATAAGATAGATAAGATAGGTAGGCAGGCAGGTAGGTAGGTAGATAGATAATAGAGAATATAGATAGATAATAGAGGATATAGATAGATAATAGAGGATATAGATAGATAATAGAGGATATAGATAAGATAGATAGATAGATAGATAGATAGATAGATAGATAGACAGACTCCAGACCCGTGCTTCGCTACGAAACTATATAAAGAATTCTATTCTATCTTTTCTATTCTAAACTATGTGGTCGGGCTTAGTTTTTGGGGAGGAAAATAAGGAAAAAAAAATTGTGCCACTGCCTATCAGCATCCATCGGTATTCATCTGGCTAGCATCCTGCCAGTGTGTGAGAGAGTTGAGGGCTGTTTGGAAAGTGAAACAGTATTTGCTGTATGTGCAAGAAGGAGACAGCAAGAAGCCTGGGCTCAGCTGTTCTGTACTAAAGCTGCTTGGTGCTGGGAAACTGAAAGTGAAACTCCTCTGCTTGCTTTTTGCATTTGGAAGAGATTTCTTTTCAGGTGGGGAGGGGGAGTAGAACCTCTTAGCATCAGAGCGTGTTAATAATCATAATATAGGAAATACTCTAAATGCTCTGAGGGTCATTTCAAAAAATCCTTAGTGAGCCTATATAGTGAGTTATAAAGTTTGGGGAAAAGTTAACCAACACAATAGCTAAACAAAGAGCATTAAATAAATCGGAGAATCCAGGTGGCATTTCCGCCGTCTTCTGTACCTCTGTCTTCTGAGATGATCTGGATGAGCTCATAATCTTCTGGCCGATCTCCATCCAGGTTGTGTTTGGCCATAGCTTTGCGAATCACCACCGGGGTTTTATCCTGGCTTGTCACCTGAGAGGGCGTGTTTAAAAGAGGCACACTTTTAGGCACACAGTGAAGTGAAGCCAAGTTTCCTTAAGTTCACGGCTAAGGTGGCTGCTATGCTCTCTAGATGAAGTTAGCTAGTCCTTGGTGCTCCCTGGGCGTCTTGCAGACGTTTCATTACCCAAAGTGGATAACATCAATGTTATTCATCACTAGCCCTGATGATGTTCCCTAGTTGGGTCATGAAACGTCTGCAAGAAAACCACCAAGCTCAGACCCCACCACCGTTTAACCCCGAGCTACAAAGATGTTCTCCTGGGTGTGCCAGAAGAGAAAGTGTAAGACTTTCACCAGCGGTGGTTCCCACACCGATGTCCATCAGCAGAAGCCTCATCAACGGAGACACATTTCAATTCGGGCTAGTTTATTTTTATCCCAGCCCTTCTCGCCTCTGGCAAAGACGGGGCACCTACCAAAATACTTTTGTACATGTTTCCGTTATCCACCGCCAAGCTGACTCGGATGATACAACAATCGTCGATCTGCTGGTTATAAAGAGGTAACGAGAGGGAGGAATAGCTAGAAATGCCCGAAACGGAGCGCTTGTGCGTACGGGACACTGTCACTGGCGTGGAGGAGACGGACGAGGAAGAAGCGCTGCTTGAACTCGACCCAACACCCGACGTATCCAAGGAGCTCAGCGAGGTAGATTCCCAAAACTTTGCAGACCAGAGAAAGGAAAGACAGGGTCAGTTATCACGCCAACAAGAACGACCTAACTATCCTTTGCCCTTGGCTGGGAGAGGTCTTCATGGTGCCTACAACAGGACCCACCATGGTCCAGAAGGACGAGGAAGAAGCTGAGAAGACAGTCTTCTGACCCGGCTCCCCAAACACGACAAACCCTCTGAAGTGAACTCAAAAGAGGCCTTTAATTAGGAGCGCCGGTAGCCCCGGCAAAACGTTTCTCTCTCACCGCAGACTAGTAAGTCTGCCCGTCCAGGAGAGGAATAATTGTCAAGATTGAATTGTCTGCCACATCTATTCATCTCCGCCCGCTGCCTTTTATCCCCAGAACTAGGGCGGGGCTCCGCTAGCAGTGGTGATTCTTCCGTCCCGAGGACCGGCCTATAGATTTCCACTGCTCTCCTCTCCTCTCCTTTCTGCTCATCCCTGTATCAGGCACTGGACTCAGCTGTTCCTCCTCTTCCTCATCAGCCACTTCCAACCCTTGGGGCTGTTGACTCTCCATCTGAGGACTGACGAAGGGCCCAGGGTCCACCTCTGTCTCTCTTACAGCTCCATTCCTTCCTCCCGCTCAGAGCTCTCAGGTTGTCTTGCTGAGCGTGACTCCCAGACCTTTTCCTCCTCTGGAGGGGCTGGTGGCCAACAGGCCGCAACAGATAGTTTTGGCGAGGGACTCTCCAAACCACCTCTAAACATCTTCTATTATCTTCTCCCACCCCTTCTTCTTGCCCTCCGCCTCTCTCCAAAAGCCCCAAGGAGAACACCTCAGCTTCTCGGTTCCCTGATCCCCCACACCAAAGCCCTCCCCCCCCATGAAACGGGGCGCACCTGCCGCCTGACCCCCTGGGCAGGAGTGGATCCCAGAGAGTCGTGGTCCTGTACCTTCTTCTCTTGAACTTCGGGCGAATCAGGAATGTAGCTGATATTGATCTCTTCCACGTCGGAGCTGCTGGAACCCGCCGAGGTGATGCTGACCGAATCGGCCCCGTCGCTGCTGCAGAGATATGGCCCACACTTCAACTGGTCGAAGGACTTGGAGTGGGAGCTGCCGCTGGCACAAGAATCGGTGCTGGGGGCCTGTCGGCTGTGGGGAGAAGAGAATCAGGAGAAGGGTTGGATAGGGCTGGCGTGACGATCTGGGGGAAAGAAGGAAGGAAGGAAGGAAGGAAGGAAGGAAGGAAGGAAGGAAGGAAGGAGGGAAGGAAGGAAGGAGGGAGGGAGGGAGGGAGGGAGGGAGGAAGGAAGGAAGGAAGGAAGGAAGGAAGGAAGGAAGGAAGGAAAA